CGTATTGACAGATTAGTTGTGACGTATTTACAGATTAGTTGTAACGTATTTACAGATTAGTTGTAACGTATTTACAGATTAGTTGTAACGTATTTACAGATTAGTTGTAATGTTTTTACAGATTAGTTGTAACGTATTTACAGATTAGTTGTAATGTATTTACAGATTTGTTTTAACTATTTACAGATTAGTTGTAACGTATTTACAGATTAGTTGTGACGTATTTACAGATTAGTTGTAATGTATTTACAGATTTGCAACAATCCCATTTTGTACAGTTTGTTTACTTTCTGATTCAACTGCCTGTTGTTTGCGTGGGGCTCAAGAGGTTAAATTACTGAACTAATTTGAAAGTTGTTTTAAATGAATGCATTGTTTTTATAGGTGCATACTCTTAAAATGACCTGATTTGTATATATATATATTTTTTTGCGTGAAGCTGATGTCTTCTTTGCAGAACACCAGTACTGAAACTCTGATTCATTTATATGTGCAGCTCTGGATACAAGCTTAAAAAAAGTTGTACTTCTTTAGGTTTTAGACCCTAAAAAGACGAGAACCCTTACAGTAGCTGAGTAAACAGATCTGTTGGGATGTTTTACCTGAACTTTTGGGAACGAGGCTGAGGTTCGTCTCTGAAACAAGCCTCCAGGCCTCTGCTGCTCAGGTGATGTTTGTGTTTGAGGACTTCTCTCTCCAACAGAGTGTTTGTTGAAAACGTAGCGCTGCGCCAAGCGCATCATCCGAGAATATAAACTCACAGCTCCTGGAGCTGAACCTGTGGGGAAAAAAAAACTATGTCAGCATTCTAAACAAGGATTTTAGTTCATTTAGGTGAAGCAAACAAACAACTCCTTTAAGATTTTGTGCTTTAAGGCTCAGAAATGTAGAAAATGTCATTTAAGAACTGATCAGAACAGGACTGAGCTCCAGAAACACAGAAAACAACTTATCATTCCACTGCAGACCTGCCCCCACTGAAACAGCTTTGTGAGCGGACTGTACGCATACTTTGGTTTGATTGTGTCCTTGTTGTACACGAATGAATGCTATCAGCAGCTCACCATGTTTACTCAGGGGGGGCGGGGGAGGGGGTCTGTCTGCTCAGGCAAGCTGTGAACACAAAGACTCACTTGTACAATCTACTGGTCATGTTGGGAAAAGTACGTGCACGCAGGCAAGCATGGTCAAAGCCTCTGAAAACAAACACGTTTACAGAGAGCAGTTTTAAAAACAAAACTAACGACGCGTCACATCAAACCCAGGATTAGGTTAAACTTGGTTTAAATGATCATATTTTCAGATTCCTGCTTTAAAAGCTACGTTTTGACGCCTGGATCACCCTGAGATCACAAACAGAGCCAGAGATATGACTTAATATGTTGCAATAATCACAATAATACATAAGATTT